GCTTTTCCATTTTTACGAAAACCACAGAGGCGTCTTGTTCAGCGTGCTGTCAAACCTACACTAGCAAGGAGATCGGGCTGAAACTATAGCTACAAGCTATCCAAGGATGGTACTATAGAATGTCACCTCAAGGTAGGCCTAGTGGCGTCATCTCTTGGTTAGGCCGGAAACTTATCAATCCACCCTCGTATGTCTGAAGCAGGGTTCTGTAAGGGTGCGTTCGCAATGTGATGTTATAGGCGAATGAATAAAATACCGTGAATAAATAATTTTAGAAATGAAGAGGTATCAGAAAGAATAGGAGAACAGACAGTGTTATGAAAGTCAATAAGAAATAGGTGAGATAGATTGGTAGGACTATTTCGCAGGCATTAAAGGCTAGTTAGAGACATATTGGAAGCAGAAACAGAAAATACCACAAATGGCGCGGTAAACGCCATCTGTAGTACGATGCTACATTTTAGGATTACGTATGCTCCAACAAGGTCCATTTAAATATATGGATATCTACTTGCTGAAACGAATCCCGGCGTTGCTAACTTCAACGTGTTAGGCACGTTACCATAATCGAATAAAATAATTCGTGTGTATTCTGTCGAAACTGCCAGACGCGTATCGCGATTTCGATCTTTGTGGATGTCATCAGCGCGTCGCAGACAGCTCCGACGGAACACAGACCAACTTTTACTTGCTGCCTTAACAGCGCGTTTTAGAAAATACCACAACTGGCGCGGTAAACGCCATCTATAGTGCGATGCTACATTTTAGGATTACTGTCTGCGACGCGCTGATGAGATCCAAAAAGATCAAAATGGCGCAGTTTCGACAGAATACAGGCCACTTCGAATTATTTTATCAGAAACAGGAGTTAAGAGGAGTAGATGTAGGCCTAATTAGATTACTGTTCGCAAATAGTTATGGATGTGGGATGTTCTAGTTTTAGGCAAATGCGAAGATTAGCTCCGGATAGGAAAGAATGGAGACGCGTGTCAAAGCAGTCTTAGGACTGATGACCTTATAACAGTGATGATATTTCAATTTAGCATGTTCATCAGTTCATTGTTTAGTTTTCCTGTTCAATTTGAGTAAAGCAAGGCAGAAAAGCAAATGGGTGCAGATGAAGGTATACTGAATTTTTTCAAAGACCCTTTTGTAGAAAATCTCCAGTACTTATACTCCGGATTGCGGTCCACTGCGGTATACCACATTTATTTTACAGTTCGTCAGGATAATGCAATTTTACATAATATGGTGGACGCGCGGCTCGGTACGCGCGGACAATTCGTCTCCTATTGACCAAGTCTATAATGTCATAAATGGATAAATGTGATATTGAACTAGCTTTGAATGTACTTACATATTTATCAACGAAGCGGCCGAGCTCATTGTTTCTGTTCACTGTTCCGAACGACTACAACGATTGTTGTTGGACTCAGATTAAAAAGTAACAAAATAGTTTAGTGGTATGGAATGAATATACAAATAAGGATTTCAATGATAAAGAATAATAACAATAACATGATTGAAGGAAACAGAAAGACAAAGGGTGTTACTTAATTAAATGCTTTGCGATTATTCGACAATTGTCACGCAGTTTCAAATCAAAAGTTACTAGTTTATGTTATTGAGGGTTGGGATGTTATAATTTAACATGTGACGAACGCAAGTATTAACGGTAACTGTCAATTATAAAATTAGTTGAATTATAATATGTATAATATATATAGTAGCTTTTATTTATAATAAAATAATAATGTGATGGAATTTTAAGCCTTCATCCCATTTTAAGAAAAAAAACAACGTGTAATTATACAACACGCTACTGAAGTGAAACTTCTTCAAACACACAAACATACCGGGATAGGGGTTAAGGAATTGGTTTAATGATATTATTTGTACACTATGCTTCGCACAGGTGCAATGCTGATAGTAAATCCAATATAGAATTACTTATATACAACAATCAAAACTTTTTCAATTTAAACTATTATAAATTACATGCTGTAAAGAGCCATATTGATCTATATTAAATAGACAATGTATTTAAAAGTACTTAATTGGATAAGGATTAATGCTGTATTGCTTAAAATTGCTTCGTAAATAAGCCATTATTTCTCGTAAAAAGTAAAGGATAAAAAATGGATATTGGATATTGGATAATGGATATTAAAAATGTAAGCGCAAAAATGTGTTTATTTACGACATCACATTAGAAACCTCTAAAATTATCAGTGTTTCTCTACTATATTATGCATGTATTATACATATAAACCTTCCTCTTCAATTACTCCATCTATTAAAAAAACCGCATTAAAATTCGTTGCGTAGTTTTAAAGATCTAAGCATACATAGGGATAGACAGCGGGGGAAATGTTTTGAAGAATTTCGTTACACAGCAACTCGCATGAAACGAACTTACCCTACCGTGCGTAAAGAAGTTTCACTTCAAAAAAGGTAACGTTCTCACAAGAAAGGATTCTTATTGAAATAATCCTTAAGACTATTTACGGTTGTGTTCCGAAATATAACCCAGCATAGTGGCCAGTGCTGATGACGTCATGAATCGACGCCATACTGTTGATTCATTCCGAAATATACTGGCCAGTGCTTTGACGGCAAATTGACGCCATATTGAGAATAGAGCTTGTGCTCGTTTACAACACTTTTGCTCCAAAAGTTATTAAAGTTTCTTACAACAAAAAATTCCTCAGTCAGATACACACACATCCGTTTGATATACTACTACATCACACTTGTCTCACCAGTACAATATGGTGGCACACCAGTACAACATGGCGCCGATTCATAACATCATCAGCACTGGCTAGTATGCTGGGTTATATTTCGGAACACACCCTATGTTTCTGGTGGCATGGAACCTCTCGTGTGATTTAATATAACTGGCATTAACGTACATATTTTGTTGCATTTAAATATCTTGTGAGTTGGAAATAATAGTTTAGGCCGATTTAAACGCTTGAAAATTGATTTACGTACATTTTGTCTTCGAATGAATTGTAATATCTGTTCCAGTGCGCGTAGCTCAGGCTGGAGTTGGATTCGTATGAGTTAATGGGATACCACATTTTCGCACAGCACAAATTATGTATATAAGTACAGTAATTGTAAAATAATCCGGTATTTAAATATAAAGTACGAAACTGTCAAAAGTGCAGTAAAAATACACTGCTCACTATTGAACGGTTGACATGATTATCAAATTTAAGCGGAAGGCGACCAACAGCTGTGCGCACCTACTAACATTTATTATCAAACTGGAATTGTTTGATAAGGAGAACTTTTAGGTGTTATTCACCACCTACGGAATTTTGATGTGAAAAAACAATCGTACGTGTTCTCATGTAATCAGAGATGTGATTTATTTGAAATACTTGTATTTAAAATGCAAATACAAAATAAAAAATACCTATTTTTATCTTCTTTTAGCATTTTGAATTTTATTTAAAATACTTTTCCAAACTTATGTATTTTCTATTTGTAAAATGCAAAATAGATTTATATAAAATGGTGAATGAACGTGCTCACATTGGCCATTGAAGGTATTAGAAGCTTAAAAAGGGCCCAAAGAGATATTCCGTGAATGCCTTTTAATTCTTTAACTGAAGAGAGCCCAAAAAATTCAAAATTCCTTGAAAATGGATAATCTAAACTATTGGATCGATATTGTTTTCCGGGTTCAATGTCATGGTCCATGGAATTTTCAATTACTACTTATCGTACCTTTAGCAAGAAACTACGAAATTTTATGAATTATAACAAAACAGCCCGCAAAACAATATCCAATTGATATACGCCAGCTGTGTAAAACTGAAAACTATAAAATATTGCGGTGTGATAGTAAATACCTGATGTATTTGATTTATAACGAAATATGTGCTAGGAATAGGATAAAGATTTCCTAAATTTGCAAACTGTAGAATAATTTACGTTAACAGATAAAAATAAAACTATACCCTGGAATTTATAAAGAAGTTCCAAAGAGAAACCAAAAATTGAAAATGCATAAGCTTAATATTTATTGTAACCCTAGGATAATTTTACACAGTTGCTAGCAGTGACTTCCTTTTAAATTAAGGTAAGGACATCTAATATTAATACAATTCAAAAGATCCTGTCGTATCAATCCTACCAATACGTTTATGTTAAGTAAATAATACCAACTTGTTTAGTAATTGATTACCAAAACGTTATCACAAAATCTAATTAAATTTATTTATATTTGTGGTACATACATTTTATCTTCTTCTAAAAAATATTCGTCGTCATAGTCCAACATATTTATTTTGATTGGTTGGTGTTGTCACTTGACTTGATAAAAAACGTTTTCACTATCAAAATGAACAGCATATTAAACAATATAAGCGGAAATGCGAGAGACGCTCGTGATCAATACAGGCGTCGCGACGGCAACGTCTGATAGACAGCCTGTGGCATCTAACGTTGAAAAGACTTAGCATATGTAGATTTAAAAGTAGAAAAGCAGTTTGTAATGATCTTCTGTAATTGTAGAATGAATAAATAAATAATAATTCAAAAAAATAGAAAGTAACAATATTGAATAAAGTTAGATTATATTAAAATAAAAACATCTTTTTTTCTCCTAGTGATATTTTCAAATTGGTAAATTGGTATTTCAAAAACTTATTAATACTTAATATTTCGAAATTTAAATAAAAGTAAAAATTCAAGATAAATATTTCAAATTTTCATTATTAAAGATGGATATATCTACGTATATTCCATTTTGATCATGATTACCTAGAGTTATTATTTAGAGTATATTTTGTTTCATTGTTATTATTTGCAGATGGGTCTGGCACAATTATTTATTTACTATTTTTTGTGCAACACTAATTTATTTAACAGGGCGGTAACCCCCTGTGAGCGTCAAGTAAGGTATACTTGGGACGTTTAAAATTGGCACAGTCCGCAATAAAACTGTCGCATTTACTTTCTTCTTTCAACTTACTAACTAGACTGTAGCAGTTGCTGACAGAATGCTTACTTTTACTTACGACAGACGTTGTAGGGAACATCGTAAACATAGAAAAGAGATGTCAGGTAGGACTTGCAGCGGACACTACTAAAGGTAAAGGAATAACATTACGCCAATTAATGTGTAACAGAAAGAGATGCAGACAAGCAGAATGTGACCATGCTGTCAACATAAAACTTTAAAGAACGTTCAACATTCTCAGGAATTTAGAAAATCAAAGACGCTTATTTAAAGATGCAATTCCAACCAAGCATTTATAAAGCCGACGCTGATATTTTGCGTACCTAAGTATACTTCGTTTACTTTCTGTAGCGATGTGACCTTCAGTTTTGCCGGCGCAAAGTAGAAAATAACAGCACTAGGTCAGAAAAGAAAGGAGACAATTCTCAGCCAAACTCTTAACCGGTGAGGAGCGTATAATCCGTACAGTACTGCACGGAAAATTTGACCATTTTATCCACTACAATTGCATTGCTCAAATGTACTGTTATTGGTACCATTTACTACTGAAAATATCAACGAGATGTTTATTTATATTTGAAGATATATTAAAGGCTTTAACGCTTGTTTTTGACTAGCACTACTATTCATGATTGAACAAAACTTTTGGCAGGTACTGTATGCAAAAGTATGTTTAATGAACAAGAGTCGAGAGTATAATGAGCTTTTTTCTCCCTACATATGATTTTGCCAGTGCGCATCCAAGACATCGGAAGGGGCACATCGCTAGAGAAAGTAAATGAAGTATAATCTCTAACCGCTGCACCGCTTACTATTTTTGGGTTATCTCTTTTCACTTTATCTGTACTCCTCATGAAGCATTTCCTAACTTAACAAAGGCGTGTTCAAATTGCGGATTTTACTAATTTCGATCATTCCAACTATATAAATTTTTATTTCAGTGCAAAAGAAATTGTTGTAATCTTGCAACACTAATTTGTGCAATAAAATTGATTAACCAATCCACACTACTAGCTTCTATCTTAGTACATAGTGATCTGTTGCAGAGTAAACAAGTGAACATCTGCTTATCAATGAATGTAAAACTTCTGTTTCATAAATTAATTAATAATAATTATAACTATGACTCGCATTTAGTTTTAAATACTTTATGTAAAATTCGTCCATTACGTGTATAATATTTATTGTGGTTTATTATGATTTCTCGAAAATATTATGCAGTTACATTTTTTTTGCGAATCAAGTATAATGTAATTTTATGAGTAAAAAACAGATCGCAAATTCATATAAGACTTGTTTTTGTTGAGTGACGACGAAGGTCAACGCTTCTGGTTAGTTTTACTTCGGTTAAAGTGTACTTTTAAATATGAAGAGGAAATATAGTGTTATTACGATTAATGTGGTTGTTTTTATCGCCTGGATATTTTGTGTGAAAGGTGTGACAAGTTTCGAAGTTCCTCCAGTTAAAATGGAAGCATTCACTCCTACAGGATTCAGGGCTTCTATTCTTGGTATGTTCATTAACGCTTAAAACATTGCTTATTATATGCATTTGTAAAAGAATAAAAAGCATACTATAATACAGTGTAAACTCTATATAGCGACACTTAAGGGACTGAACATTTTTCGGCGTTATAAAGAGTGGTCGTTAAATGGAGAGAAATAAAAGATATTATTTTACTATTCTATAATAATATGCATTTACCAATATAGTACACATTTTGCACACGAACATTATTATTCATACATTGCGTATAGCCTGTTATCTTCGTCTGATGTTTTTTGCTGCTCCAATATTTTAATTGTATTTTGTTACGTATCTTACTCATATGTTGAGATACTGCTGGATCAATTTGATTATATAAAAAGCATTTTTTTAATAGTTTCGCTGCATCAAGTGCTTGTTTGATGCTTGGTGGAGGGACAGGATCGTCTTCTTCAACAACGTATACAGCTGCAGTTCTTATCTATTTCGTCAACTTAGAAAGTACTGCTTAATGATTTATAATGCCGCATTGTTGTCGTTAAATAGAGTAAGCGTGGCGCTATATAGAGTGTAATATTGTATAGAAAACAATGTAAACCAACCAAAGTCAAGCAATTTCGACGTTATACGGAGTTTACACTGTATATTATAAATACAGTTACTTATTGGCTTTACGGTGTGAATTTCATGAACATGGAAGACCAAGACTGTCTTTTTATACTAGTAAGACCATAATCAAGACCGGGACTAGAAGTATTTAGGCGAGACCAAGACTAGAATTAACTTCATCATATTTGGTTTCATCGTTTAGATCCCCGCTTTTTTAAGCGGTGCCGTTTTTCGCAACGGCTAGACGGAATCGAAAGTACCATTTTATTCAAATTGTAATTATTGTGTTCTTGTTGTCAGCTTCACCAGGTATCAAGTTATTCGCATTCCATGGTAATATCAACCGTGTAATAGACCTGGACGAAGGTGACGTATTCGGAGAGGTCCGATTTCCCACAGAGGGACGGTTTGTAGTTTATGATAAGAATATTGTACTTAAGCCGGGCGATATCATTTATTATTGGGTTTATGTCCAGAATTTCGCGTCAGGGCACAGGGTCGATGGAAAGAAGTATGTAATCGAAGGTAAGCATCAAGGACTTTTTTGACTGATTCCAGTTTTGTGGTTTCGCAGTTTCTTTACCAAATATTACACGTATTAGTGTTATCAAAAAAAAAAGATATATACAGTCGAACCTGGATAAGTGAGAGCTCAAGGGACCGCGATCTGTTTCTCTCTTATAGAGGTTTCTCACTAACCCGAGTTTCTGGCTTACAGAGTTACAGGAGGAATTTGTCTCACTTATAGAGGTCTATAAAAATACGGTTCGACAACACATTGAGTTTTCGTTTAGACATTATGAGGAAGTACAAGACCTTTCTTCGCAACTGCTTTTATGAACTGACTGTAATAAGATTGATAAACAAGTCGGTACGCACATTTGGCTATAATAAAATAATAAAGACTTACTCGATCATTCGCCAGATTTCGTCATTCGAATGAAATAGGAGTCTACATACAATGTAGAAATCTTCCCGAAGTGAGTTAGTTTTAATATGAAATATTCTCAATTTTTACCCACTACACACTACATCAAATTAATGAGGAAAAATTGTAGCTTAGTGATTAGAGCATTGGCGCGTAAAGCCAAAGAGCCCGGGTTCGATTCCCGGCGGGGGTGTGACAACAGCAACAATTTTTCCTCATTAATTTGAGGTAGTGTGTAGTGGGTAAAAATTGAGAATATTTCATATTAAAACTAACTCACTTCGGGAAGATTTCTACATTGTATGTAGACTCCTATTTCATTCGAATGACGAAATCTGGCGAATGATCGAGTAAGTCTTTATTATTTTATTATAGCCAAATGTGCGTACCGACTTGTTTATCAATCTTATTACAGTCAGTTCATAAAAGCAGTTGCGAAGAAAGGTCCTGTACTTCCTCATAATGTCTAAACGAAAACTCAATGTGTTGTCGAACCGTATTTTTATAGACCTCTATAAGTGAGACAAATTCCTCCTGTAACTCTGTAAGCTAGAAACTCGGGTTAGTGAGAAACCTCTATAA